TATTATTATTATTATTATTATTATTATTATTATTATTATTATTATTAACATGCTCTGATGCTAAGGAGTTCTACTCCCCCTTCCCACCTGGAAAGAAATCTGCTCCTAATGCAAAACACAAGCAGAGGAGTTTCAGTTTCAGTTTCTCAGCACCAAGCAGCTTTAGGACAGAACAGTTGAGCTAAGCCACGCCCAGGCTCCTCGCTGTCTCCTTCTTGCGCACACAGCAAAAACTGTTTCGGTTTCCAAACAGCCCTCAACTCTCCCACACACTGACAGGACGCTAGCCAGATGAATACCGATGGATGCTGGTAGGCAGAGGCAGAATTTTTCCCTCTTATTTTCCTCCCCAAAAAGCCCAACCAAATAGTTTCGTAAGCGAAACACAGGTACACTGCTAGTTCATCACAAAAAGAAGACGCCGGATGAAAACTGACAAGGGTATCCAATATAGGAGACGAGGAGGCTGAACTGGAAGGTGGGGTTAAACGTGTTACTAGTTTGAGCTCCAAGTGTGGTCGTTTAAGTCGAGGACCACCTGCATAGATAGTAAGGATCAACTCTTCAGTGCGGTGAACTCACCAAGTTCTTCCCACCTGATATTCAGCTCAATTTTGACGGCTTTACCTAAAATAATCGTAGGAGAATTCTTCCAGCGTGTATGGCTTGATCCTTTCTTCGCTGTCGCTCATCACCAGCTGGGACGTCCTTAGGACTTCTTGCCTCTGATTTGGAGTCATGGTTACCAAAGCCTGGAGCCGGGGGGGGGGGGGGGGGGGGGGGGAGAGCAGAGAAGGTCCCAGGGAGTTATTGCAAATAAAAATGGACTGAAAACTTTAAAAAAAACTTAAAATATTTGATTGTAAATGTATTAACAGCGGCTAGGATTGTATTTGCTAAAAATTGGAAGAGTGAGAAGATACCATTAGAGGAAGAAATTATTAAGAAAATACTGGAATGTGCTGAAATGAGTAGATTGACATTTGAAATTAGAGAACAAGAAGATAAACAATTTTATGAAGTTTGGGATCTTTTTTACCAATGGTTAGATAATACACTATAATAATAGAATATTTAGAAACTTAGGAAATAATGAATATACTTTTTTTTTGGTTTTGATAACATTTTTAGAATATTTTATTAAGATAGACTTGGTATGATTTTATGATTTGTTATAAAATAAATTAATTAAATTATAGTTATCTCGCTTAAGTATGAATTAGTAAAATTATAGTCAAATGATTGTTTAATAATGATATTAGGATATATAATTGTTGGTTGATAATATGAGTTATTATGTAACATAATTTTATGATGACTATGAAATGGATGCACAAAAAGGAGTGGTAAACCAACCGATACACTGTCTGTAAATTTATGAAGAACGATGATGTTTTTATGTTATGTTTTATGTGTTTGTTTTTGTTTGTTGTTAAAATCAATAAAACTTTTATCAAAAAAAAAATGGACTGAAAACGAATCAGAGGAAGTCCTGTGACTCCCACTTTCTCCAACATCCGCTCCCGCCCAAATTGCATCAATATTTTTTGCACGGTTGTTAAAGCGAGTCACTGCATGTGGTTAAATTAGTCACCCCGTCGTTAAGTGAATCTGACTTCCTCCTCCTCCTCCTCCTCCTCCTCCCTGCAAATCCCTTCCCTTCTAGCACTGATGATGTTACCTAGTTGGGTAATGAAACGTTTGCAAGAAAACAATCAAGCCCAGAGCACCAAGGACCCTACAGTCCTCCTCCTCCTCCTCCTCCTCCTCCTCCTCCTCCTCCTATTCCTCCTCCTCCTTTTCCTCCTCCTCCTCCTCCTCCTCTTTGCAAACCCCACTCCATTCTAGCAATGATAATATTACCTAATTGGGTCATGAAATGTCTGCAAGAAAACAACCTAGCTGAGAGAGCACCAAGGGCTCCACAGTCCTCCTCTTCCTCCTCCTCTTCCTCCTCCTCTCCCCCTCCTCCTCCTCCTTCTCCCACTGATGAGGTTCCCTAGTTGGGTCATGAAAGGTCTGCAAGAAAACCATCAAGCTCCGAGAGCTCCAAGGACCCCACAGTTCAACCCTGTTGAAAATATTCAAATATTTTCTTCTATTGGTACTGAGCAGAGTAGAAACCAAGATCCTAATGAAGGATGAAGAAAAAAAAACCTATGCCATCAACACTGTCCAGCCAAGCTACTGTATATAAATAAGGTACAACCCCTCCACCCTTCCTTCCAGCACTGATGATGCTATCTAGTTGGGTCATGAAATATCTACAAGAAAACAACCAAGCTCAGAGAACACCAAGGACCTTACAGTTCTCCTCCTCCCCTCTGCAAACCCCTTCCCTTCCAGCACTGATGATGTTAACTAATTCGGTCGTGAAATGTCTGGATGAAAACAACCAAGTTCAGAGAGCACCGAGGACCCCACAGTCCTTCTCCTTCTATGTCAGCCCTCCTCCTCCTCTTCCTCTTCCTCTCTGCAAACTCCCTTCCCTTCTGGCACTGACAATGTTCCCTAGATGGGTAATGAAACGTCTGCAAGAAAACAGCCAAGTTCAGAAAGCACCAAGGACTCCCCCAGACCAGTTTCAGGAAAATAGAAATTTGTTCACTCACTCACTCATTCATTCATTCATTCATTCATTCATTCATTCATTCAATTTCAATGGCCTCCCAGCTCAATCAAGCGACTATGGACATCTTCCCCCAGAAAACTCCTATTTTTCTCTGTTGAAGCCATCGGCGCTTGTATCGGGCAGTTTACCACGATGTCCGGAGGAGGCGTGGTCATAGTGGGCAGGACGTAGACCGAATCGGTCGGAAAGTCTCCCTTCTGCTTGGTCCGTTCATTGACTCCGTTGGCCCAGCCGGAATTCATGACGTTTTCCCCCGTGTCTTGGTCCAGGATTAGCAAATCTCCTTTGAGGAAGCTGAGAAAACCGGAGTCGTCGCCAGCTGGAGAGAGAGAGAGAGACAGAATTGGAAGATGTCGGCGTGGTGTGGAGGACAAGAGAAAGATCTGGATCTACCTAGAGAAGATCTCTGTGTGATGACCCAGGATGGGATACAAAATAAACACAGTCACACAAAAAAAAACAGGTGAAGCCCCTTTTATTCCTTCACTTGGCTTCCAAGCTCCATATTTTCTTGACGGGAGACAAAAAACTCCCCCACAAGCAGTTACAAGAAGGAGGAAAATGCCGTTTAAATTATAAAGAGTAAAAAACAATACAAACCAGGCAAGATGAGGGCTTGAAGATGTCCACAGATATCAGAACACAAACTGGGAAGGACACCAAACTTAGAGAGGAACCATAAACTAGAGATATTTCCACGCTTTGTTTCCAGCACTGGCCCATATGCATGTCCGTCCTCTTATTCAGTTGTCACAGCTGCAGCCCATGAAGGGGATCAAGGCCCTTTCCTCCCCAGTAGACCACGTTTCTCCCTTATCCTCTCCTCCCTGCGTGCCCTAGGATGGAGAGGGGATGGGCCTGGGTCCTCCTCTGACTGCCCAGCCGGCCTCTGCCCTTCCCCGGCCTCCTCCACAACCTCTGGAGCCACACTTCCACTCCCTGTCGGCTGTTCCTCCTCTCCCTCAGTCTCCACCAGGGGTATAACACCTCTGGGTGGTTGCCAGGATGATCTGGGCTCCAGGCCAATGACCCCTCAAGACCAAGGATGAACTAAGACCAGGGGTCTCCAGCCTTGGCAAGTTTAAGACTTGTGGACTTCAACTGCCAGAATTCCTCAGCCAGCAGCAGATAGTTGTCAAGTTATGACCATAATTGAGCCCAAAATTTATGGTCGTAAGTTATGGTAGTTGTTAAGCAGATTCCCCACATGAACACTGATTTTACGGTCTTTTTTTGTTGTGGTCATTAAATGAATCACTGTGGCCATTAAATGAATACAGAGAATGTTGAGCGGATCCATTGTCTGAATAGGAAAAAAAGGAAAGAGGGAAAAAAGAAAGGAAAGGAGGGAGGGAAGGAGAATAAGAGAGAGAATGGGAAGGAAGGAAGGAGAATAGGAGAGAGAACAGGAAGGGAGGAAGGATGGGAGGGAGGGATGGAGGGAGGAAGGAAGGAAGGGAGGGAGGGAGAATAGGAGAGAGAATGGGAAGGAAGGAGAATAGGAGAGAGAATGGGAAAGAAGGAAGAAAGGAAGGAAGAAAGGGAGGGACAGAGTGAATGAGTAAGGAAGGAGAATAGGAGAGCAAACGGGAAGGAAGGAAGGAGGGAAGGGGGAAGGGGAGGGATGGACGGAGGAAGGAAGGAAGGGAGGAGGAGACAGAACAGGAAGGAAGGTGGGGAGGACGGAAGGGAGGGAAAGAGGGAGGAAGGAAGGAAGGAAGGAAGGAAGGAAGGAAGGAAGGAAGAAAGGAAGGAAAGAGAAAAAGGAAGGAAAGGGAAGGAAAGCCTTTTCACTTGAGGAATTAACTCCCAATTTCCCTCACTAAATCCTTCCGTTTGGCTCCTCGGCTCACCTGGATTGGGGTTGTCTTGCAGCGTGACCACGTATTTCGACCTTTTCCTCAGCCCTTCCAGGAAGGTGACCACCAGGGCCCGGATGTCCTCTGCGTTGTTGGACGTGAAGGTGTACTCGTCGCCTTTGATGGTCGCCAGTATGAAACTCTGTCCTTGGAGTTTCCCTCCACTGCAGAAAAGACGACCAAAAGGAAAGAATTCAGCCTGAAATGTTAACCCTAGAAGTCTTCCCAACCCCTTGGCAAAAATATCTACTTGGCTTCCTTGGGCAAACACAACGTGGCCATTAGAGAAAGAATCCGGCCATTGAATGAAGGAATGAGAAGACTTCAGGTTTGATTCTGTGTGTCCATCTCACACACACACACACAAACACAAAACACACAGATCGCCTGTTTGGGGGAAGTATGATGGCACCTATATTTCTTGCAAGAGAGCCTCAGAAACTAAATTTGGTTTTGGCTTCAGAGTTCTGCTTGGCTGGCGACAAATTGGCACCAATTTTGGCCAGTGGGCAGAATGAAGTTGAAATATAAGAAATATTAAGACTGATTATTGAGGATCCAGATCGGTGCTACCAATTCTCTAGATAATTGGAAATGGCCACTTACGGCAGTGTTTTGTCAACCTTGGCAACTTGGGAGTTGAAGCCCACATCTCTTAAATTTGTCAAGTTTGAGAAATACTTCCTTAGGCCACGGTTCACGCAGTTATGGATTACCTGGGTTGTTGTTGTTTTTCAAGGTCTTACCTATTGCTGGAGACAGCGGTTATCTCCGGGAAGGAAAATTCCAGAAGGACTTGCTCTTGTTCATCTACAAAATACACCCCAGTCCAGTTCACAGCGACAATCAGTTCGTTTTGTGGAAGGCTGGGACCTGGTGGTAGACAAAAAAAAAAAAAAAATGGAAGGAAAGGCAGGTGTGGTCTCCCCCCCAAACGTCAGCCCAAACACCTGAAGAGGCAGGACAAGAAACAATGGATGGAAACTAATCAAGGAGGGAAGCAACGTGGAACTAAGGAGAAATTTCCTGACGGGAAGAACAATTAACCAGTGGAACTACTTGCCACTAGGATTTGTGGGGGCTCTCCATCACTGGAGGTTTTTAAGAAGAGATTGGATAACCAGTTGTCTGAAATGGTGTAGGGCCGTGATGGCGAACCTATGGCATGTGTGCCACAGGTGACACGCAGAGCCATTTGTGCCAGCGTATGAGCTGCAGGCAAACTTACCTCACTGCGCATGCGCGCGCCTCACAGCAGATTTTCGGCCGATTTTCGGCCTTTTTCAGCCTCCCAGAGGCTTGAGGAAGGCTTCTGTAGGCTTTGCAGGCTGAAAACTAGCCCCGTTTCGCCACTTCCTGTTTTTCCGGAAATATCGGAAGTGACGAAACGGGCCTAGTTTTCGGCCTGCAAAGCCTGCAGAAGCCTTCCTCAAGCTTCTGGGAGGCTGAAAAAGGCCTCAAACCGGTCAAAATCACCTGTGAGGCGCAGTGCGGGTAAGGGGGCGGTGAGGTGGGTGGGTGGGGATTGCGCGTGCATGCATAGGGGGCGTGCAGGGGGGCATTGTCTTCTGGGTGCTGGCATGTGAGTGCTAGCATGCTAGCGCCCGCACCATTTTTTGCACAGGAGCCCAAAAAGGTTATCCACCCCTGATATAGGGTTTCCTGCTTGTATACAGGGGGTTGGACTAGAAGACCTTCCAAGGACCCTTCCAGCTGTGTTCTGAACTGAATTAGATATATCTAATTTAATGAAAAGAAGAACTAGAGGGGACATGATAGCAGTCTTCCAATATTTGAGGAGCTGCCACACAGAACAGGGAGTCAATTTATTTTCCAAAGCACAGAGGGTTGTTTAACGACCACAGATTCAACCTCAGTGGTCGCTAAATGACCACAGATTTTACCTGAGTGCTCAGGTTATTCATCCAATGAATAACCACAGTGGGTTTTCTTAATACCTGCCACAAAAGAGGTCACAAAATCATACAGCCATCATGAGTTGCGACCAGAATGGGCAGGCTCCATTATGGTCATAACTCAAGGACTCATTTTACATGTGCTAGTTAGAAATCTACCAAACAGGTTTTCTGCAAGAAACCATTTTGTCTATATCCTGAATAGAACATTTACTATTCCATCCATCCTTAAAATATCCCAACTGAATTACAGTAGGCTCAGTAATTCAGGTGGGATATTTTGATGAGGAACACACAGAAAATATTCGAGGACTCGTTTTATCGATGGTTAGAGAAAAAATATGAAAGTTAGAGACTAGTGAATAGAAAATATGCTTACAGAAGCAAGTAAGTTAAGATGAGGATTGTTACATGATGTGTATCAGTAATAAGCTAAGAGTAGAGAATTAATACCAATGTAACGATCCAAGAAACAAAGCAATCTTTTGAAAACTCTAAAAACACTTGGAAGTTGACTGAAATCTTGCAGCTGTCAACTCGTACAATATTTTTATGGTCTTTTAGAGTTGCCAACAGAAAGGAAGAGGGGGAAAGGGGTTTGAAAGAGCAGTGCGGCAGCTTGGAAATCGAAAGTGCATTCCATAAATATTTTTCAGTGATAGTGACTAGGTGACTGAAGTTTCTGCCATGCAAAATTCTAACTGGAGAGCGTGATTGATGACTCTTGGCTATGGATGTGTCCCATTGGAGAATATGAATTACGATACACCAGAGGGGTGGGGGGAAAACCAGGGTCAAGGGTGACAATGAATGATGTACCTCAGAGTCGGCTACACCAACATGGCATGTTAACTCCCAATAAATCCTGTTTAGTTTTGGAAGTTTGGCTCGAGGCTCATGATTTAAATGGGGGTGACTGCTGGAATCCTGACAGCAGCATTTTGTGATTGGAGAAGGTGCTTGGGGCGTCCCAAATGCTGGCAGAAGAGCACACGTGATCAGGAAAAGTTGACAAACTAATTGCATGAGTGACCTCCTACCTGTTGAGCAATCTGTCGTTTGTGAATCTGTCGTCTTCGAGCGATGGGAAACTTTGGAGCTTACCTGAAAACTTAAATGCTTCGTAGAACCTGGAGAAGAGCAAAGGCCACTTGAAGCGAGCGAAGTCCACCACTTCCTCCTTAACTCTTTTAGGATCCATCCTCTTCTGAGTATAAATTCCCTGGAACACAAAGGGAAAAAAAAATATTGGTAACAGATAACAGACAATCAGAGTTGGAAGGGACCTTGTAGGTCATCTAGTCCAACCCCTTGCCCAAGCAGGAGACCCTACACCATTTCTGACAGAGGGCAGTCCAGTCTCTTCTTGAAAGCCTCCAGGGATGAAGCTCCCACAACTTCCGGAGGGCAACTTCTGTTCCATGGGTTGATTGTTCTCCCTGTCAGAAAGTTTCTCCTTATTTCCAAGTTGAATCTCTCCTTGTTCAGTTTCCATCCATTGTTCCTTGTTGGGGCTTTAGGGGCTTTGGAGAATAGCTAGACCCCCTCCTCCTCTCTGGAGCAGCCCCTCAAATATTGGAAATATTGCTCTCCTGTCTCCCCCGGTCCTTCTCTTCACTAGACTAGCCAGGCCCAGTAACCCGTTCTTCATATGATTTAATCTCCAGTCCCCTTGACACGGATTAACAGAATAACGGAGTTGGGAGGGACCTTGGAGGTCTTCTAGTCCAACCCCCTGCTCAAGCAGGAGATCCTATAGTATGGGCTATAAATGGCCTATACCATTTCAGATAAATGTTTATCCAATTTTTTTGTCATACCCCTGGTGGAGACTGACTCTGAGGGAGAGGAGGAACAGCTGACAGGGAGTGGAAGTGTGGCTCCGGAGGTTGTGGAGGAGGCTGGGGAAGGGCAAAGGCTGGCTGAGCAGTCAGAGGAGGACCCAGGCCCATCCCCTCTCCATCCTAGGGCATGCAGGGAGGAGGGGATAAGGGAGAAACGTGAATGGCGTGGTCTATGGGGGAGGAAAGGGCCTTGATCCCCTTCTTGGGCTGCAGGTGTGAGAACTGAATAAGAGTTTGGACCTGTGTACTGGTGAACACTGGAAACAAAGCGTGTTTTATTTTGGGCTGAAGTTATCTTGTTTGGCGTCCTTCCAACAGACTGCGTCTTGTTATCTCCTTGAATTTGGTAATTACTTATCCTGTTTCCGTTGTGGAAATGTCATCATTGTAATTTGTTTAGGTTTTGTTTATTTCACCTCTATCTGCTCATTAAGTTCGGACTGTATTGCTTTCTTTTGAAGACTATTTTTGAGTATGTTTTACCTCCAGCTGAGTATTATTAGAACAGTGGGGCTAATAAAGAACATTTATTTACGTTTTGGATTTTGTTACGTTTGTATCCCACCCTGGGTCATCACACTTTTCTTAAAAACTTCCAGCACCTACAACTTCTAGAGGAAAGCCGTTCCACTTGTTAATTCTCTTCACTGTTAGGAAATTCCTCTAGGCGAGACTAGAACTCACGGTCTCCTAATTATTAGCCCAAAGTCACCTAACAAGCTAAGGTGGGACTAGAACTCACCGTCTCCCAGTGATTGGCCCAAAGTCACCCAGTTGGCTTTCGTACCTAAGGTGGGACTAGAACTCACTGTCTCCTAATGATTAGCCCAAAGTCACCTAACAAGCTTTCTTGCCTAAGGTGGGACTAGAACTCACCGTCTCCCAGTGATTGGCCCAAAGTCACCCAGTTGGCTTTCGTACCTAGCATGGGACTAGAACTCACTGTCTCCTAATGATTAGCCCAAAGTCACCTAACAAGCTTTCTTGCCTAAGGTGGGACTAGAACTCACCGTCTCCCAGCGATTGGCCCAAAGTCACCCAGCTGGATTTCATGGCTAACGTGGGACTAGAACTCCCAGTCTCCTGGTGATTGGCCCAAAGTCACCCAGCTGGCTTTCATGCCTAAGGCGGCTAGAACTGTCTCCCAGTGATTGGCCCAAAGTCACCCAGTTGGCTTTCGTACCTAAGGCGGGACTAGAACTCACTGTCTCCCAGTGATTGGCCCAAAGTCACCCAGTTGGCTTTCATGCCTAAGGCGGGACTAGAACTCACCGTCTCCCAGTGATTGGCCCAAAGTCACCCAGTTGGCTTTCGTCCCTAAGGTGGGACTAGAACTCACTGTCACTTGATGATTGACCCAAAGTCATCCAGCTGGATTTCATGCCTAAGGCTGGACTTGAACTCATGGTCTCTTATCCACTGCAGATGGGCCTTCTATCCTGCATACTCTCACTCCTGTTGCAAAAGGGAATCCCTCCGCGTTACCTTTTTATGGGCCGCGATGATAAACTGAGCCCACTTCTCGACCGTTTTGGAAGGCGTGATCTCTCGGTCGGGAATGTAGGAGGGAATCAGATTCAAAAGACGCTCCAAGACCATTTCGGATCCATAATCCACGTAGTATTGCTGGGAAGCTAATTCGGCCATGTCTTCCTCCTGGCAAAGACATATGGGAAGAACAATTAAAAAAAAGAGCTAGTGGCCCTCAACTTACAACCATTTGTTCAGCCACTGGGTTGTGGCCTGGTGGCCACCGGCCCCTCCAGCAGCTGAATCAGAGGAGGAGTTAGCGTGGGAGTCGGGGTCGGCATTAAGGCAACCTGAGAGCTCCGAGGGGGAAGAGGGAATGGGGCTGGCAGAGACAGAGATGGAGGTGGAGCCTGGGCTGTCCATCAGCCCTCAGAAGGAGAGTCAACAGCCGCCAGGTCTGGAAGTGGCTGATGAGAAAGAGGAGGAACAGCTGGGTCTAGTGCCTGACAAGCAGATGTGCAGAAGGCAGAGGAGAGGAGAGCAGTGGAAATCTATGGGCCGGTCCTTGGGATGGAAGACCCACCACTGCTAGCAAAGCCCCACCCTAGCTCTGGGAATAAAAGGCAGGGGGGAGGGGAATTCAAATTTTTAAACAACTGGTTCTGTGGGCATGGCCAGAGGGAGTGGCTAGGTGGGTGTGGTCATGTGGGTGGGTGTGGCTAGGTAGGTGTGGCCATGAACTGTTGCAAGTCGAGGACTATCTGTACATAAGAATCTGGCCAACTAACAGTCAAAGCTAAATTGGTGCTTGAAAAGGAAGGGACAGCAGAATTACGTGTGTGTATTTGTGTTGGGCTTGGTCTCTTGTGGCAATGCAAAGATGCCAAACTATTAACGCGTTTAACCCCGCCTTCCATTTCAGCCTACTCGTCTCCTATATTGGACACCCTTGTCAGTTTTCATTTGGCGCCTACTTTTTATGATGAGTTAGCCGTGTACCTGTGTTTTGCTATGAAACTATGTGGTCGGGCTTAGTTTTTGGGGAGAAAAATAAGGGGGGGAAAATTCTGCCTCTGCCTACCAGCATCCATCGGTATTCATATGGCTAGTGTCCTGACAGTGTGAGAGAGTTGAGGGCTGTTTGGAAACTGAAAGAGTATTTGCTGCGTGAGCAAGAACGAGACAGCAAGGAGCCTGGGCAGGGCTTAGCTCAACTGTTCTGTACTAAAGCTGCTTGGTGCTGCTGTGAAACTGAAACTGAAACTCCTCTGCTTGTGTTTTGGAGCAGATTTCTTTTCAGGTGGGGAGGGGGAGTCGAACTCCTTAGCATCAGAGCGTGTTAATAATAATAATATAGGAAATAATCTAAATGCTCTGATGGTCGTTTTGAAAAATCCTTTCTTAGTGAGCACCTAGAAGCCAAGAGGAACCTACGGGCCAAATTTCAAGTTTGTACACTTTACGGTTCTGGAGATTTTGTGATGATGCGTGAGTGGTATTTCACTTTTATAAATATAGATTTCAGCTTGCCCTGAATTTTGAAGGTGGCAGGGACTCCAAATGCCGGTTTACCTTATCACATCGGTACTCCCCAAACTTCACCCCTCGGACGATCTGCTGGTAAATGAGATTGGTGGCAACGTAGTCGTCGGTGGGATTGTGCCAGGGGGTGAAGATTTCCTTCCTGAAGAAGAGTCGCCAAGGGGCATTGCGTTCCTGGGCACCCTGCTCCTTGGCAAACTGCTCGCACTGCGAGATGGCGTCCATGACGTGGTCGCTGCCGCTTCCGAGGGAAGAGACCTGGGAAAGAGGAGAGAAAGAGAAAGCCGGCTTGGTAACTTTGGGCCAATCACCAGGAGACGGTGAATTCTAGTCCCACTTTATCCATGAAAGCCAACTGGGTGACTTTCGGCCAATCAGTAGGTGATGGTGAGTTCTAGTCCCAACTTTTGGGCCTAAAAAGCATCTGGGTGATTTTGGGCCAATCACCAGGAGACGGTGATTTCTAGTCCCACCTTTGGCATGAAAGCCAACTGGGTGACTTTGGGTCAATCATCAAGTGACAGTGAGTTCTAGTTCCAGCTTAGGCATGAAACCAAGTGGGTGACTTTGGGCCAATTACCAGGCAATGGTGAGTTCTAGTCCCACCTTAGGTATGAAAGCCAACTGGGTGACTTTCGGCCAATCACCAGAAGACAAGGAGTTCTAGTCCCGCTTTAGGCATGAAAGCCAACTGGGTGACTTTGGGCCAATTGCTAGGAGACGGTGAGTTCTAGTCCCGCCTTAGGCATGAAAGCCGACTGGGTGACTTTGGGCCAATTGCTAGGAGACGGTGAGTTCTAGTCCCGCCTTAGGCATGAAAGCCAGCTGGGTAAGAGGTTGAGTCAGGGTTTCCCAACCTTTTTCACATTTAAAACGTGTGGACTTCAACTCCCACAATTTCCCCAGCCACCTCCTTGAGGTCTTTCCTCCCACCGCTTTTTCCTACCTTGTCGAAGAGTGCAATGTAAAGGGAGAAGCCAAAATGGTCCCTCAGGCTTATCTTGTCGGCCAATGAGGTGCAAAGCTCCTTGGCCGTAGTGGCCGAGTCGGTTAACAAGGTCTTAGTGGTACCGTCCATAAATGTGACCGGAAGCATGATGGGCTTCTTGGATTTGGTCGCCTGGAAGAGGAAGACACGACGATTGCAACCTGAAGCTGGATCAGAGAAAATTTTGGGCTGCCCCGAGTTGCAGCTTGGCATGAATTATGGGTAGTCCTCCACTTATGACTGGTTGCTTAGCAACTATTCAAAGTTACAACAAACTTAAGAGGCAGAAATTAGATGGGGAAAGGTTATTTATTGTTCCATATAAGTGAAAGATGAAGGTTGTTTCACAATGACAAGTATGCTGGTACAATTAATAGGATTATAAATCAGCCAATAGAATTATAAATATTGTTATAAAATACTACATGTATTGTTAACATTACTAGTATTGGGTATATCTGTTATTTTCTTCTTTGGTAAAATGAAATGCCTGGACGATACACCGTCTTCAAAATATCTCTATATCAATCAATAAATAAACTTGATTAAAAAAATATTTATGACAAACTTCCAAAAATTTACTTTTGATATAGATATAACTGTCCTGTTTGGTTCTGCAACCCAACAGGACAGACACAGGCTCCAGAGAGTAATTAGGACTGCAGAAAAAAACCATTACTACCAACCTGCTTTCAATCAAGGACCTGTATCCTGCACGAGTCAAAGAGAGGGCTGTGAAAATATTTACATCCTGGACATAAACTGTTTCAACTCCTACCCTCAAAATGATGCTATAGAGCCCTGCACACCAGAACAACTAAACACAAGGGGAGTTTTTCCCCCAAAAGTCATCACTCTGCTAAACAAATAATTCCCTCAACACTGCTCAACTATTACAAAGTCTGCACTACTATTACTGTTAATCTTCTCATCACTCCTTATCACCCATCTCCTCCCACTTGTGACTGTAACTTTGTCACTTGTATCCTTA